GATAACTAGTGCAAGATTCCCACACACAAATAAGCCTCCTAGTGGTAAACCGTGATAATTAACTGATAACACTTTATCTGTGCAAAGTGATAGATATATCCAATTGCATAAAATAAAACAGTTCAAAAACAATTCAAAAAAACTTGTGATGCCACACTGTGCAAAATAATAATAAGTGTTCAATACACAGTGATTATAACTTCACTCCATGCTGCAATTGTGCTCTTCGTGATACTCTGATGTGACTCCCCTGGATTTAGCCAAAATGCCCCCTCACCTTCCACATTCGACCCTTGCGGGTCACAAAGCTTTAAATATATAATATCTCTGCCAGGTTTTCATACTCCACTGACTCCACCGACTCAATTAAGATCCTCCTCCAAGCAATGAATTCCTCTCAGATCACTTTCCTCACAATATGGACTCAAACACAGGGCGCATATGCAAGAAGACAAAGACCTCCATAGTGCAACACTGTTTTAATGCACTTTAAAATAGAAACGAATAACACTCACATATCCTCCAACAGAGAAAAGCAGTTTCCCATGTGCTATGGGTGTACTCAGGTGTACAAAGATGGCATTTCCGGTCAAAGGGGTGATGTACTTCCCCTTCCGGGTTCGGAAATGCCATCTTTGTACACCTGAGTACACCCATAGCACATGGGAAACTGCTTTTCTCTGTTGGAGGATATGTGAGTGTTATTCGTTTCTATTTTAAAGTGCATTAAAACAGTGTTGCACTATGGAGGTCTGTCTTTGTCTTGCATATGCGCCCTGTGTTTGAGTCCGTATTGTGAGGAAAGTGATCTGAGAGGAATTCATTGCTTGGAGGAGGATCTTAATTGAGTCGGTGGAGTCAGTGGAGTATGAAAACCTGGCAGAGATATTATATATTTAAAGCTTTGTGACCCGCAAGGGTCGAATGTGGAAGGTGAGGGGGCATTTTGGCTAAATCCAGGGGAGTCACATCAGAGTATCACGAAGAGCACAATTGCAGCATGGAGTGAAGTTATAATCACTGTGTATTGAACACTTATTATTATTTTGCACAGTGTGGCATCACAAGTTTTTTTGAATTGTTTTTGAACTGTTTTATTTTATGCAATTGGATATATCTATCACTTTGCACAGATAAAGTGTTATCAGTTAATTATCACGGTTTACCACTAGGGGCTTATTTGTGTGTGGGAATCTTGCACTAGTTATCTGTATAGGTTATTAGAATTTAAGAGGGAATTAAGTATTTATTTATTTTGGTAATTTCACAATAATTTTGATGTAAGAAGGTATTTTACACACTATATAAGTTGAGCGCTTCATCACAATATATATAATTTGTTAGCAACTGAATTAGCTATTGATTCATTCTCTTTTTCGATAAGGTTCGAGTGGGACTCCACAATAGTAGGATGGTCTTTTTCTTTAAAAAAAAAAAAAAAAAATCTTAATTTGCTGTTTCATGTTGCAGTGTAAACAAGGAGACCAAAAAAATAAGGAAAAAACTCACAGGCATGAGATATGGGTTGGATACTGGAAATTAGGGAAATTTTTTGTATTACGTCTGGGCTACCACAGATGACTCAGGCTGAGGAAGATCCTCCATGACATGTGATCATGCTAGTTGCACTGTCAAGGTCGGTGTTGGCTGCCTATAGGCCTTTCTGCTGGCTGAGCCTATTAAACGCTGGTCTGCTGGCTGGTTTGATTGATTGATGGCCTAAATAAAATCTGGTCTGCTGGCTGGTCTGATTGATGGCCTGATTAACCATTTCAATACCGGGCAATTTTTCACCTTCCTGCCCAGGCCATTTTTCACGTTTCAGCGCTCTCACACTTTGAATGACAATTGCGCGGTCATACAACATTGTACCCAAAATAAAATTTTATCATTTTCTTCACACAACTAGAGCTTTCTTTTGGTGGTATTTAATCACCGCTGGGGTTTTTATTTTTTGCTAAATTAACAAAAAAAGACAGAAAATTTTGAAAAAAAACCACGTTTTTCTTTGTTTCTGTTATAAAAGTTTACAAATATATAATTGTTCTTCATAAATTTAGGCCGAGATGTATTCTGCTCCATGTCTTTGGTGAAAATAACCCAAATTAGGATGTATTATTTAGTCTGTAGGAAAGTTATAGAGTTCACAAACTATGGTATAGATCTGAGTATTGATCAATCCTGAAGTACTGACAGACAATCTAATTTCTTGAGGTCCAAGAATGTCAGAACAGTACAGATATCCCCCAAATGTCAGGACAGTACAGATATCCCCCAAATGTCAGGACAGTACAGATATCCCCCAAATGTCAGAATAGTACAGATATCCCCCCAATGTCAGGACAGGACAGATATCCCCCCAAATGTCAGAACAGTACAGATATCCCCCAAAATGTCAGGACAGTACAGATACCCCCCAAAATGTCAGGACAGGGACAGTACAGATATCCCCCAAATGTCAGGACAGTACAGATATCCCCCAAATGTCAGAACAGTACAGATATCCCCCAAATGACCCCTTTTTGCAGAGTAGACAGTCCGACGTACTTCATAAGAGGCATGGCGAGTTTTTTGAAGTTGTATTTTTTTTGTCATAATTTTTCGGAAAATGAAAAAATTAAAAAAATTTCACTATTTTTTTTTTACATACTGTCACCAGTGCAGTACAGCGTCATCATATAACTGGCATGGTGGTGAACAGGGACACTGACTGGTGACAGTATGAAAAAAAAATATATATATATATTTTTTTATTTTTTTTTATTATTTTTAATTTTTTATTAAATTTTTTTAAAGATTTTTTTTTCATATTTTACTATGACCAAAGTAGTACAATGTTACCAAAGTAACATTGTACTACTTTGGGGAAGTGATCAGTATTTTTTTTTTTTTTTTACACAATTTGCTTATAGCAAAGAATTACTTTGCTATAAGCAAGCATTTACCTGAATGACATCGATTCATTCAGGGTTTTTTTTTTTTTTTTTTTTTTTTTTTTTTTTTTGTGCTTAGCTGTGATTTGGCCACAGCTGATCACATGACATGTGCATGTGACCTGCTGTGACCATTCACAGCTAGGCACTAGTATACAATGGATGGCATGAATGAAGCCATCCATTGTATACAACTGTCATGTGACCTGCTGTGATTGGTCACAGCAGGTCACATGGTACCGGCAACGGGGGCCGGTACTCAGATCTGTCAGCGGCCGTGTCCGAGGTACACGGCCGGTGACAGATCGCGCCGCTGCGCAGTTCTGCAACCGCGCGAACTGCGCATGTGTGGGAGGACGCCAAATGGCGTGCACCCGGAAAGCTAGAGCATTTTTGCGGCCGTCAAACGGCTATAGGCTGGGCGGCTAATGGTTAAAGGCTGGTCTGCTGGCTGGTCTGAATGATGGCCTGCTTAAAAGGCTGGTCTGCTTGAAGGCAGATTAACGGCAGGTCATCTGAGCGGCAGTTCAGTTTAACGGCAGATCAGATTAACAGCAGTTCAGATTAACGGCAGTTTAGTTTAACGGCAGTTCAGATTAAAGGCAGTTCAGATTAACGGCAGTTACGATTAATGGCAGTTCATTTTAATGGCAGTTCAGTTTAACGGCAGATCAGATTAACGGCAGTTCAGATTAACGGCAGTTTAGTTTAACGGCAGTTGAGATTAAAGGCAGTTCAGATTAACGGCAGTTCAGATTAATGGCAGTTCAGTTTAACGGCAGTTCAGATTAACGGCAGGTCAGCTCAACGGAAGGTCAGGTTAAACAAGGCAGTTCGTATTAAACAAGGCAGTTCAGATTAACGGCAGTTCAGATTAACGTCAGTTCAGCTCAACAGCAGTTCACATTAAAGGCAGTTCACATTAACGGCAGTTCAGATTAACGGCAGTTCAGATTAACGGTAGTTCAGATTAAAGGTAGTTCAGCTCAAGGGCAGGTCAACTCAACAGCAGGTCAGCTCAACAGCAGGTCAGCTCAACAGCAGTTCAGATTAAAGGCAGTTCAGATTAAACAAGGCAGTTCAGCTCAATGGCAGTTCAGCTCAATGGCAGTTCAGCTCAATGGCAGTTTAGCTCAATGGCAGTTCACATTAATGGCAGTTCAGATTAAAGGCAGTTCAGATTAACGGCAGTTGTTCAGCTCAACAGCAGTTCAGCTCAACGGCAGTTCTGATTAATGCCACTTCAGATTAACGGCAGTTCTGATTAATGCCACTTCAGATTAACGGCAGTTCTGATTAATGGCAGTTCCGATTAAAAGCAGTTTAGATTAATGGCAGTTCAGATTAACGGCAGTTCAGATTAAAGGCTGACCTGATTGAAGGCTGGTCTGCTTGAAGTCTCCTCTGGGCGCTCGGTGTGTCTGCTGGCTGGGCTGCCCTTCAGGAGCTTGTTTCTGCAGGGCAGAGCATGGCTGCTTGCTTGGTGGGTCTGTCCACACATTACAATTGTTAGGGACCAATGGCGACTCTAAAAAAAACAGGGTGCAGATAAGACACCACAGTCAAAACTGGGAGGGCACTGATAATTTTCACCACTACCATATGAGGATATGTTCTTTTTTTACTTTTTTTGCCAATAAGTAGTTAGTACTTCTTCAGCACATGGGTTCCTATACATAGTCAGCTACCAATTTTATTGAAAATATATTTTTATATTTTAAATGAAATTTGTAGCTGATTGTGCATAGGTGTGCTGTGCTTTGTTTTTTTTTCTTTTTTACTTTTTTAAATATTTAGGCCCCAGAGAGCAGCACTAAAATGGCATGGTTGTTTTTTTTTTAATGTTGTTGGTGGGGTTTTTTTTTTACTCTTTTTGAAATCATTTTGTCCCCAGAGTGCAGCACAAAAAATGTAATTTACCTTAAGCTGACAGGTGTAGGGATGTGCACCATTGGCGGGTCTCTCCTTCAAGTGTCCCCAAGGCGGTGTAGAGCGGGCCTCTCCTCGTGTCCCCCAAGGCGGTGTAGAGCGGGCCTCTCCTCGTGTCCCCCAAGGCGGTGTAGAGCGGGCCTCTCCTCGTGTCCCCCAAGGCAGTGTAGAGCGTGCCTCTCCTCATGTCTCCCAAGGCGGTGGAGAGCAGGCCTCTCCTAGTGTCCCCCAAGGCTGTGTAGAAAGGGCCTCTCCTCGTGTCCCCCAAGGCGATGGAGAGCAGGCCTCTCCTCGTGTCCCCCAAGGCTGTGTAGAAAGGGCCTCTCCTCGTGTCCCCCAAGGCTGTGGAGAGCAGGCCTCTCCTCGTGTCCCCCAAGGCTGCATAGAATGGGCCTCTCCTCATATCAACCAATGCTGTGGAGAGCGGGCCTCTCCTTTCATCCCCAAGGCAGTGAAGAGCAGGCCTCTCCTCGTGTCCCCCAAGGTGCTGGAGAGAAGGCTTCTCCTTGTGTCCCCCAAGACGGTGGAGAGCAGGCCTCTCCTTGTGTCCCTCACGGCAATGGAGAGCAGGCCTCTCCTTGTGTCCTCCAAGGCGGTGGAGAGCGGGCCTCTCCTTGTGTTACCCAAGGCTGTGGAGAACGGGCCTCTCCTCATGTCCCCCAAGGCGGTGGACAGCGGGCCTCTCCTCGTGTCCAATGAGGCTGTGGAGAGTGGGCTTCTCCTTGTGTCCCCCACGGCGGTGGAGAGCGGGCCTCTCCTCATGTCCCCCGCGGTGGTGGAGAGCAGGCCTCTCCTCGTGTCCCCCGTGGCGGTGGAGAGCAGGCCTCTCCTC